CCCTTCTTCCTCATTTTAAGCCCTAAAGGGCCTGTGCTAAGCAAGGTTTGGCCAGCTGGATCCCAGGGCCCTGTAGGCAGTGACTCATAAGAGGACAGTCATGTTACCCTGCCTCTGTGGACTGAGCCATTTCATGTAGGTCATCCCAGCTCTGTCTCCACTCCCGGGGATGCTCCTAACATGTCCTCGTCCTCCTTCCTGCCTGCTGTCTTTTCTCCTTCTTTCCGTCGAGGTCTAACCTCAGCAAGCTCTCTGAAGTCTCCCCTGACCACTGTCCAGGCCGTTCTCATCTTCCACCTGTGCCACTCACCTCCAGTGGGACCAGGTGTCGTGTGTGACTGGTGCCCTGCCGTCCCTCCTGGGGAAGCACCTAGAGAGAGGGATCCATTCCTGGGCTCTCAGTCCCCACTGGGAGTCCAGCCTCCCAGGACAAGGATTCTGACCTCCCCCAGCAGACCTCTCTGCTCTGCGCCCTGGGCTGTACCCACACCCAGGAAGTGGAAACCTTGAGGACTGCTTCTGTGTCTCTCCAGCAGCTTCCTGGAGACTGCAAGGGCTGGAGCCAGTGAGCCCCAGGGCTGGGGTGGGCAGTGACCACCTGCCTCAGGGAAGACCCCTGCCTTCCTCTTGCCTTTCAGGTCCCTTCTTCTGCCACCACCTCAACCCCAATCCTGATGGAATTACAGACTTTCCAGGCAGAGAGGGCCCCTCCTTGTCATTGTCCCTGTGGGGAAACTGCTCAAGAGCACAGGGCAGATCAGGCTGGCTGGGGCAGGAAGCCAACCGGGCCTCTCTCCCTCCTCTGTGCTCAGCCCTCAGTGCCTGCAGCCTCCCAGGGAAGAAAGGGCGAGCGCCCTCCGCTGGCCACTCTTCAGAGACAGCGACCTTCAGGGCAGTGGGTAGCTTGCAGCCCCCATGGGAGCTCTCTCCTCCCACACCTGGCCTTCCAGACCCTGGCTGGTCCACATGCCTGCTTTGCCATGGAGCCCTGGTGCATGTGGTTGGGTTGTTAATTCTGGGGCAGGGTGGGAGGTGGCAGAAGGGACCCAACCCAGAACAATTAAGAAGGCTGTAATCTGCCACCTGCTGGCTGGATTCAAGTTCCCAGCAAATTCTCCCTGGATTTTGAATCTTGCTGTGATCACTATGACCTTGAAATCCAAGCTCTGTGTCCTCAGGGTCCCCAACTCCCTCCTTCTGCCTAGACCCAACCTGTTTACTGTATCCACAGCAGCACTCCACCTCAGGGGTGTGCAGGAAGGTGTCAGGGAAGGACCTTGCCGGCCAGGTGTCAAGGAATGGCTTTGGGTCCCAGGCTTCCTAGAACCTCCAGACCCAGCCCAGATGCTCCCTTCTCTCTGAGTAAGACTGAGCCATTTGTGGTTGCTACTGAGCTGAAATTCTGAGGAAAGACGGGTTGCAGGTTGTTCCCAAATAGGAAACACACAGAAAGAGAGAGAGAGAGAGAGAGGGAGAGACAGAGAGAGAGAGAGAGAGAGAGAGACAGAGACAGAGAGACAGGGTCCTCTTCCCTTCCTGCACCACAGGCCTGCAGGCCCCAGAGGGACCCAATAGTGCTTCCTGTGGTCAAAGAAAGTGTGTGCCTCTGCTCTAGGCAGAGCTGGCACAGTCACCAGAGCCTTTCAAGCTGGGCGCGGATGGGGTGTCTTCAGTATGAAGTCGTTTCCCACGGTGAAGAAGCAACCATGTTCTGCACAGTCCACTGGCAGTCTGGGATGCCTGCCCAGTGCCAGAGTCTAAAAATGTCTGAGCCCATCTTGGAATCCCAGAGGTTGGTTAGAAAACAACCCAGAAGCTAGCCAATATCCAAAACGACTGTCTCCTGCACACTTAATCCAGCCGAGAGTGAAGCTCACCCTGGCCAAGGGCCAGCTGGGTGATCTGATGTCACAGACAGACCCCAGCTGCAGCCCCTCCAGGGCAGGCCCAGGCCCAACACTTAGTGCTGCAGCTACTTGGTGTGTGTTAGACTGAGCTGGAAATTCAATCAGGTGTCAGGGACACAGTGAGTTCTGGGCATGCCAGGAGGGCACCTTGCCAACCTAGGGGCAGTCAGGACTTCTCCAGAGAAGAGAAGGGTCTGGAGTTGAACCTAAAAATGTCACCTGGGAGAAAGAGGGGACAAACACCTGGCAGGGGGCACAGTGGTGGGGATGTTCAAAGAGCCATGAGGCGCTCCAGCAAGGTTAGGTAATTATCAGAGGGATGGTCTAACCAAACTATATCCTAGCATATGAAGAATTTAAGGGCACAGCCAACCATGGTACATCGATGGATCATTTAACAAACACAGTTGGGAAAATGGCTCCTGAGGGGCGGGGGAGCAAGATGGACCCTGACCTTAGACCATTACCATGGTAAGCAACAATTAAAAAGCTCTTAGACTTGGGATTAGGTGGGACAGAGGTATAGATGAGACAGGTCACCTCGTCCGTTCATTCACCTGTACCACTGGGTCCAGGCAGGGGGAGCCTCAGCCAGGCAACCAGCCCTGGCTTCCTAGCTTCTGACGAGAAGGCACTTGTGAAGGGCAGGCCACACCGTCCATGAGCTCAGAAAGTCTTTCAAACCAGGCTCTATGAAGTGATTCAGAGCAGAAATTGCAGGGGAGGGTTTTGTTCAAACTCATGTTCGGCAGAAGCATTTTTTCTGCACCCAAGCCCAGTAGGGAGCTCCCCTCTGTTTCCCTTTTCCTGATACATTCATTCACATTCACACCACCCGTGCCAGACAGTGGGTGGGACTTTGTCTCATCCTCTTAACCGCTGCTGTAATGGGAACCTCGGATGTTGGACCAGGATGGGCCCTGGGGATGGTCCCTACCTTCACTGTACACAGGAGGAAGATGTGCAGAGAGGAAGAGAGACCTGGTCTCACACAGCCAGTCAGGGCCAGAACTGGGTTGGGTCAGTCCCCCCACAGGCTTCGTTAAGCTTACACCACTTTCCTGAATTTCCTGTGGTGTCAGCCTGACAGCTTTTCTTCCAATAGCCCTGGCCAGGGAGATTGGGTGTCCACGTCCCTGGTCCCATGATGGGCCCTCACTGTTCCCCAGAATAGGCTCTGCCCAGCTTGGGACCTGGCCAGGGACAGGGTACGTGCCTCCTCTGGCCTGACCCCAGCCTCTTCCCCACTACACTGGTTGAGTGACCTGGAGCATGTCACCACTCAATATGACTGCCTCCTTGAAAATGTGAACAAACACAAATGAGCTGCACACGAGATCGTGCCTCGTGAGCTGTGAAGCACCATTCCTGTGAGACACTGGCCTCCCTGGACCCGACCCAGGGGCTGGGTACAGAGCAGATGCCTTTGAGTAGCTGTAAGATAGCACTTCTCAACTGGGGGCGATTTTGGACAAGAGGTGTGGCTCAAGCAGTACAGCACCTGCTTACAAGTGCCTGTCTGTTAGCAGGAAGCCCTGAGTTCAAACCCTAGTCCCACCCCCAAAATTAAAAAGCGTCCTAGAGTATCAGCTGGGGGCAATTTTGACACCCCAGGGAACAGTGGACAACATCTGGGAACATTTGGTGTCACAGGTGGGTCTGTGGCACTTAGCTGGTGGGGCAGGTTTTCAGGACAGCCCCACAGCTAAGAGTGATTGTCTCACAAGACTGAACTGCCCAGAGGAATGAAAGTGTGGGACTGTATCTGGAGACACCCAGGTGGCTGTCATTGCAGAAACAGGAGCTGAGTAGGAAACTGGCCATTAAGACACCATGGTGACCAAGAACAGAAACTACCCAGGGCTAAATGACATGGCCATCCTGGGTTTGAGAAGTCGAAAACATTTTAATTCTATCCTTGGGAGGCAGCATAAATAATCACAGAAGACCACAAAGGTCAATGGGGAAGAACAAAAAGCGCTGGACATGGGTGTGTGTGTGATGAGTGCTGACACTGTCCAGCTGTGTGCTGGGGGAAGCAGACCTGCTCTGGCTGGCCTGGAGGGCAGAGGGTCTTACAGCAGAGTCCAAGGGCTGGGACTGGCCTCTCCCAGCTCACTTGGGGAACCATGCAGAGGACACTCTGCAGAGAAGCTTCAGGGCCAGCAGGCATGGAGTGTCCTGTGCCCAGAAGACCCTAGCCAATGGGAGACAAGAATGGACACCGACTTCTTGATCCCCAGGCCTCCTACCCCAAACAGTGACTTTTCTGAGAAGAGCTCTTGGATGCTGTGTGGGAAATGGAGAGAGAAAAGAACAAGAAATGTGCAGAAGCCTGAAGGAAATGTGTGTGGCGCCCTGAGCCCTGTGTCCTGGGGTCACTCCTCTGTGAAATGGGGATGTGAGGGCCAGTGAGATCCTGCAGTCAGAGAGCCTCGTAACCTTAAAGTGCTGAGTGGCTGTGGTGGCTGTGGTCATCGTGCGAGCGTAAGGCTGAAAGTGGCTGAGTAGCGGTGGGGAGGGACACAGAGCGTCCCCCAGAAGCCATTGCACCCCTGCTCTGCAGGCCGCAGGGCCAAGCTCCACCCTTCTCAGCCTCAGCTTCCAGAAGAAGAGGCCTCATCTCAGGTGGAGTCCCCGGGCTGGGGGTGAGAGCAAAGGGTGCAGGGACACCGAGTTGGGGGGTGGGGGCCTCGGTGGGGCAGTGTGGCATGTGGGCACTACTGGTGTCAGGCAGATAGAAGTGGCTTCTGGTTCTTACCCTGGCGAAGTCCACAGAGGGACTGGCATCTCGATACTGTGGGAAGGGCCCTGGCCTTTGGGTCTGGACACCAAGGTCCTGGTCCTGGGTCCTCAGTTCTGTCATCCAACAAGTGGGGACACCAATCCCTACTCTGCCTGGCTCATGAATTAAGTGGGAAGAGGGTGTGCAAGAGCTTTGAAGAGAATCACGGGGAGCGGGGTTCATATGGCCTTGGGTACCCTCTTCGTTCCCTGAAGACAAGGGGCAGGGGAGGGGAGGAGGCGGACAGGAGCCAGGTGGCCGAGCTGCTGCCCTTGCCCTGAGTCTGTCACGCAGGGCTGTTGGGGGGGGAGGGGAAGAAGAGCAGATGGGAAGAGGCAGGGCTCTGGCCTGGGGTTCTAGGATGGACAGGTCCTGCAGCCCCTCTGTGGGCAAAGCTCAACTTCCTCGTCAGCTGGGACCCTGCTCCCCATCCAGGGTCGGGGGAAGTCTGGCTGGGATGGCAGGGAAGGGGCTGGGGACTGGTATGAGCGTGAGGTCAGGAGGTCAAGGGTCGGCTTCCAGTTCTTGAGGTGGCCCCCAGTTGCAGTCCTGGCTGTGTCTCTGTGGTCACTGGGTCAGGGGCATCCGAAGCGGCCAGGGAGGGCTAGCAGTTCTTGGAGCTGTTGCGCAGGTTGTTCAGCTCCAGCTGCAGCTGCCGAAGGCGGATGTCCTTCTGGATCAGCTCTTCTTTCAGCCGCCGGATCTCGTCCTGCTGCCTGAAGAACATTCGCAGGAGCTGGGGGGGTGGGGGGCGGGTTAGGAGGATGGGAAGGGCGATGGTGGCTGGCTTTCCCCCATGCCTCCTAGCTGCCTGTCTACCCGAGGCCTCCCACTGCTTGTCCAGCAGGCAGCTCCTCATCCTGGCAACTTCCCCTCCAGGATGGTCAGCGGCTCCCACTTCCCCTTGTGAGGCAGGAGAAGAGAAAATACATTCCTGTTGCCCACACAGGGTCGCTGAGGAGGCAGCCCAGGTGCCCAGGCTTCCCCTCTTGTGTGTCAAACCTAATGCTTTTCTTCACTGTCCTGGATGCAAACCTTTCTAAAGTGGTTTGCATCCTCCTCTTAAGGAGGTTCAGGACAGAATGGAACCTAACTTTCGTCCTTTCCTTCCCTTCCTCCCTCCCTCCTCCCTTCCCTCCCTCCCTCCCTACTTCTTTCCTTCCCTCCCTACTTCCTTCCTTCTCTCTGTCCTTCCTTCCTTCCTTCCTCCCTCCTTCCTCCCTCCCTACTTCCTTCCTCCCTCCTTCCTCCCTTCCCTCCCTCCCTCCCTCTTTCCTTCCCTCCCTACTTCCTCCTTCTCTGTCCTTCCCTCCTCCCTCCTTCCTCCCTCCCTACTTCCTTCCTCCCTCCTTCCTTCTTTCCCTCCCTACTTCCTTCCTCCCTCCTTCCTCCCTTCCCTCCCTCCCTCCCTACTTCCTTCCTCCCTCCTTCCTTCCTTCCCTCCCTCCTTCCTCCCTCCCTCCCTCCCTCTTCTTTTTCTTCTTCTCCTTCTCTCTTTTTTTCTTTTTTTTTGCCAGTACTGGGGTTTGCTCTCAGGGTCTCGCTCTTGCTAGGCAGACACTACACCGCTTGGGCCACACCTCAGCCCTCACCATTTCTTTTGTAAGCTCTGACAGAAGCCCACACACCCGGGCCTGGAGGGCAGCAGGCAGCTCGTGGCCCCTGCACACTTGACCTGAGGTGCCTGCAGCCAGCGGTGTTAATGTAAGTGTGCCGTGAAGCATGTTTGCTGTCGTAATTGCATCATTTAGTTAAAAATGACATACACCAACGAAATGAGTGTAAAAAGTAAAAAGAGTTGCTGGTTCTATAAAACCTTAGTTGAATGCTGCAGGGGATCTTGCTAAGGGTGATGCTTAAACAATTGTGCTCGAGTTGGGTGTGAACAACAGCTCCAGTTTTTCACTGGCTCTCAGTCTGCTGAGATGAACTGTGGTAAAACCAGAGTCTGCGGGCTCTGTCCAAGCTGGCTTCGTCCCTGCAAGGAGGGCGCACGGTGCAGATGTGGCTTTCTTAGGACCCTTTACTGTAAGTTGTCCCTGTTCTCAGTCCTGCCTCCTGCAGATGTCTACAGCTGAACTCGACTCAGTTTACATGTGGAGCCATGGCTGTTTCCATGCCCAGGGCAGAGCTGAGTGTGAGCCCTTAGCTGGGCAATTGGGCAGCCCACATATCTTTACCTTCAAACAGTAGGACACTTTTCCAAAAATCTTTTAAAAATGGAAAATGTTAAATATACACAAACATAGGAAGAATAGCACCCTACTATCACCCAGCATCAACAAATAATGGATGACCATTCTTTTCTTATTTTCTTTATCTTTATTGTATATTAAGTTGAGGCAGGGTCTCGCTATGTAGCCCAGGTTGGTCTTGAACTCAAGATCCTCCTGCTTCATACTCCCAAGTGCTGGGATTACAGTCGTACACCACAACATCCAGCAATATGTAGCCGTTCTTGCTTCATTTCTACTCCTACCTACTTCCCCTGTGCTGCCTCCCTTGTGGACTATTTTGAAGCAAAATCATGTTTATCACAGGATTCTGTCCATATGTAGAAATGTGGAAACCCCTCTGCAATGGCATATAAACATGCTTCATGAAAATTATGCCTGCCTCTCTCTCTCTCTCCCTATCTTTTTTTTTTTTTTGTGGGACTGGAATTTGAACTCAGGGCTTTGCTCTTGCAAAGCAGGTTTCTATGGCTTGAGCCACACCTCCAGTCCATTTTGCTCTGGTTATTTTGAAGATGGGTGTCTTCCAAACCATTTGCCAAGGCTGGCCTCAAACCTCCATCCTCCCCATCTCAGCCTCCCAAGTAGCTAGGATTACAGGTGTGAGCCACCAGCACACAGTTTAACCTCTCCTTTAAGACTGTGAGATCTCAGCAATGATAGCCTTTTTTTTTTTTTTCTTATCAATAGCAGCAATGGCACGAGTTGGCAGGACGGGCAGTCTCCAAGATGGCCCTGTGTTATCGCCTCTCCCAGCGGGATGGGCTGAACCTATGCTTGCTTGAGACAAACAGAATAAGGCAGAAGCAGTGGTGTCTCCCCAGATCAGGGAACAAAAATACTATGGTTTCTCCCACGCTCTAAGGGAAGCCAGCTGGCTGCCATGATTCAGGCTGCCCCATGGTTAAGTCCATGTGGCCAGGGCCTGTGGAAAGCTGGTCCAGCTACCATGAGGATCTGAGGCCTCAGTTCTCAGATTCTGTGAGGACCGAGTGCCGCCAGCAGCCCTAGTGAAGGCAGAAGTAGATCATTCCTCAACTGAGCCTTAGAATGTGACTGCAGCCCGGTTGACGGTGCAACTGCAGCCTCATGGGAGACCTTGGGCCACAGGCACCCACAGAAACTGAGATAATAATTGGTGGTGCACCTAAGTCATTAAGTCCTGTATAATTTGTTACACAGCAACAGACGGCTGGCACAGCTGGCCTCCCTCTTCGAGCACGCAGCAGGAAGAGAGCTAGATGCTTACGGATCATCTCTGTGCTTGCTCACGGCCTTTCCTATCCCCATTTTCCCACAAGGAAAGGAGGTGGAAAGGTCAGAAGCCCTGCAGGCCATCACTATACCATGCTGCCTCAGCCCTGGAGCCTGCCACAGAGACTCCTGGCTGAGCTGAGAGCTGAGCTGTGCTAGAAGCTGGACCTGGGGTGCAGGCTGGAAAGAGCTGCCATCAGGGGGTGTGGACCCCAGAACAAGCTTGCTTCTGGTCCGCGTGGTACCAAAAGCCTTTTGCAGGAAGGGTGACAGCTGACCACTGCTGCAGCACAGGGAAGAGGCAGAGCTGGGACACAGGAGGCCGGGCTGGCAATTTACAATCCCCATAACTCCGCATGGCAGCGGCGGATTTGTGAGGAGGTGGCCATCCCTGTGTTAGTGAATTTGAGGCCGGAAGTGACCACATCTACCCAGCATCCCAGCCTCTATCAATTAGGGCCGGAGGGAATGAGCCAGCAGCTTTTGTCACAGAAAGAAAAATGCCTGGGGGTGGAGCTGGCTTAAAGGCCTGGAGCCTGGAATGAAACATGAAGGTCTCGCTCCTCCATGGCCTATGGAGGTCATAACTTACCTCGTTCTCTGTCCTGGGTGGGACGTTTTCTAACAAATCTATTCCATTGACCACAATGCTCTTCTTTTCCCTGATGGGAGCCTTAAACACCACTTTCGAGGACTTCTTATAGCCTTCCTTCAAGGACATCAGCACGGGGTCTGTAGAGGCAAGAAACATGTTCCCATGACTCCTGGCCGGGCTGTCCATGCTTGACAGCTGTTGGGTGAGCGGTTACGCCAGGGGAACATGGAACAGGAGGTGGCCAGGAGGCCGCCCTCTGCTGTGTCATACCCCGGTTGATGCCTCCCAGCCATTCGTCCGGGGTCAGAGCTGGCTCCGTGCCGGGTGTCATTGGGTAGATGTCTTCCTGGTAGGAGTCCGACTACAGTGGGGGAGGGAGAGAAGTAGACATCCGGGGGCCGCTGAGCAAGCCCCCGCTGTCCAGCCAGAGCCCTCCTCGCTGACCTCCTGCCATGCTGCCTGCTTTTCTGCCTCCATGACTTTGTCTGACCTGCTCCCCACACTCGGAAGCAAGCCGAGCTGTCCCCATCTGACCATGGCCTTCACCCTCCACCCCAGGTGGAGCCCGAATACCCAGGTCCACAGCACCTCCTCTGTCTGGGCTCCTCAGGACAGGCCCCTGGGAGCCCAGCCCGCCCCACTCACCCTCCTGGGCACAATCATGGAGATAGGCTCGATCAGGCCCTTCAGAGTCACCAGCTTGTAGAAGCGGAACACCTCGCAGGCCGACACATCCAGCCCGTGCTTGGGCATGACCCCTGAGGAGAGGCACATGGCTCTGTAGGGTCCCACACCACTCTCTAAGTGCCCATGCCTGCTGCCTGACGTCTCCAGCCAGGGACAGCCTGTGGTCTGGAGGCCACAACCCATGCAGAGGGCAGGCTGGCTGCAGCATCTCTGCAGTCTTTGTCTCTCCATGATCACTTCTCAAATAACTCCCCAAGGCCAGGCGTGTCCACCATGGTGTACACTTTACAATTGGGCCTTTTTGAACCAGAAGGAACTTTGGAGCTATTTTAACTTGGTTCACTTTTATACATGGAGAGCCAGGCATTGTCCAAGGTCACAGTATGGCAGGTCAGGGCTCCACACCTTCTGACATGAGCAGTCTTCTGTAAGCCTCTGTGGCCCAGTCCTCAAAGAGCAAGAAGGAGGGCAAAGCTACCCCTTGCACACCCCAGAGGTCTGAGTGCAGCCTAAGATGGTTCTTCTGTTGCACATCTCCTAGAACCACCAGCGTGGGCACGTGTTGTCTGTGTGTCATTAGACACAATGTCCCTAACAGCTGTATCACAGGGAGGCCAGCAACATGGTGTTGGGAGCTCAGTTTTGGGGTCAATTTGACCCCAAACTCTTGCTCCTCTTTCCAGCGGGGAGGCCTTGGACAAGGCACTAACTGTCTGGGTTCTGGTTCCTTGGGCAGAAGCAGCCACGCAGGAGGTGGTTGGGGCACGAACTGAAAGAGGCTCATCCCTGCCTGGCACCATGTCACGCACAGATAACATCTTTCCCTGTAATAGCACATTAGGGTGCTGGGCCTCCCCGACAGGAACAGAAGTTGCTCTTCCAGGAGTTGGGGTGGGGGAGGCGGGGCAGTGGTTACCCCTGCCTGGTGTGGAGCCAAAGGGTGGGTTTGAAATCTGTCTGTGCCACTTTGCAGCTGCACGACCTGCTGGGGTAATTCACTAAACTCTGGACCTGGGAAAAGTGCCTGCTCATGGTGGATACTCAGTGGTGGCTGTGGGGGAGGAGAACACAGGGGAGGAGACAGGCATCACCCTTGGTCTCTCCCTCCCTGACCCTCCTCTCTTACCACACTGGACACCTTAGCAAATCCTGCTGGTCTGCCTTCCACACATCCCCTGGACCACCCATTCCTGCCCATTTGCAGACTGTCACAGGCTTCTCCTGCTAAAAGTCCATAGCTGCTTCCAGAAATGTCTTCCCTGCCTCCCTCCTGCTCCTTCCAAATCCCTCCTCCCCACTTTTCCCAGGTTCAGGTTGTGCAGCTGCAAAGTGGCACAGACAGATTTCAAACTCACCCTCTGACTCCACACCAGGCAGGGGTAACCACTGCCCCGCCTCCCCCACCCCAACTCCTGGAAAGTCAGGTTGCCTTTGAAGTTCTTCCTCCTCTCAACTGCTGGGATTTCAGGTGTGAGCCTGGAACTTCTTCCTGCCCAGTCAGGCAAAGCTGGAGCTGTGGGGTGGGGGTCCTGGCTTCTCAGAGCCCCAGGAAGGGGCTGGGGTCATTACTGGACCACCTCCTACTGGGTCAGCCCCACTTAGAGGCGTGGTTTCCCCATCTGCGGTGAGGAGGGAGGACATGGAAACTGCCCCTGCAGGCTGCTGCTAAACAGAGATGGCTGTGGACCAAGAACCATGGAGTGACAGTGCCGTCAAAGGGCTATGACAGGCTGGTAGAAGGAGGACCAGCTGGCCTGCCCAAGGCCAGCACCTGCAGGTTCCATGTCAACTTGCCCATGGGCTGTGACCTTCTGAGTGGGATTTCCACTTGAGGGAGGGCAGCCCACCAGGCAAATGTCCAGTCTCCTATCATAACAGTCTTGTGGCCTCTGGGCCCCTTACCTAGGCCTTTCTGTGGGGCCGGGGAGCGGAACTCCATGAGGTAACTCAGGTAGGGCTTCTCTGTGCTGACCTCGTAGTACCTGATGTTTCCGTCCCCCTGGGGACAGGAGAGAGGGGGTGAGGAAGGTATAGCAGAGGAGAGGGCTGAACAGGCCACGGCCTGGGGATCTGCAGGTGAGAGCTGTCCCTGTGCCTTACAGGTGGTCAAAGATCAGGGACACACAATGGCTCCACCATGGGACTTCCTGGTAGTGGAGACACAGAGGTGGGATGGTGTGACTAAGGGTGAATTCTCAGTCATGGACACTTCAGTAAGAGTGAGTGACGAACTTGAGGGTGCAGGTGGAACAAGGTGAGAACCAGGGACCTGGGTTGGTTTGTGGGAAGCCAGAGTGACTAGCTGGCTCTTAGAAGGGAGGGCAGAGGCAGGGGTCCTGATGAGGTCAGGGGTCTCCCTGGCTGCCCCAGTCCCTCCCCACCTTCTACTACCTTTCCAGCCAGGTAGAGCATGTGGGTGTCAGCATCGTAGAAAGGGAACAGGAGGCCAGAGAGCCCGTCAATCTCTTCCTCAATCAGAGGCATGGACAGGTCCTCCTGCAGAGGGGAGGAGGGCCAGCTCAGCCTGTGTCCAGGCAGGACTACAGGTCACCTTCCAAATCCCAGCTATGACTCCTTTATGCCAAGACCCCCTTCAGATGCTAAAGAGCCCATCCTAAGGTGGGGTCCTAGCTGCCCTCACTGTTATGGAAAACAGCCCAGGGCAGTAGGAAGGGCCCAGCAGACAGGAGGTTGATGGCTTCTTCTCAGTGTCTCCTCCCCACATCCCCTACTTGCTATGTGTCCCTAGGCAAGCCCCTGCCTCCCTCTGGAGCTTGGCCCTAGTTCTGCACAAAAGGGGCAAACATCTCACAGGTGTGGCCAGTTATTGTTAGGAAGCCTTTGGGCCTAGGCTGCAGAGGTCTCCCTCTGCCTCTCACAGGTGATGCTGCTGGAGGCCAGCTGCACAGGTCCTTCTGAGGAAGTGACCTCAAGAGGCCAATGGATGTCTCCTTCAGCCCAAACCTGGCTGACCACTCTCACCGTCTGACCTCCAGCTCCCCACTTTTGTCCTGCTGAGCCCTGGGCAGCACTCTTTGGAACAGAGCGAGTGTGTAGTTCGAGAGACCTGAGACCTCTCTTCTCTCCCCTTGTTTAGCTGAGGGGAACAGGCCATGCTGCAAATCACACACTTGCTGCCCACCTCAGGCCGGTCCTGTGCCAATGCTGTGGGTGAGGTGGTGGGTGGGGAGATGATGGGGGAGAAGTTTGGGGTGCCCACAACCCCAAAGACCCACAGGAGGCCAGCAGGCCTGGCTGAAGGCTGAAGCTGGAGCAGATGCACCTGGTGTTGGGGACAGGAGAGCCAAGCTCTGCTCCTGTTCCTGGGCTACCTTGGGAAGGAGTGGACTGAGGCTCTCCTGGCTCGGTGGGTCACTTGCCCCCTCCAGGATGGATCCCTCTCCAGGATGGATCTCCACAGGTGCGTGTGGTGCACGTGGAGGCCTGCATGCCTGTGTCTGGGCTCTAGCCGTGAACGAGTGCCTGGTTCTGCTCTCTGCACAAGGATAGAGCAGGGCTAGGGCCCCACCTTTTGCTCTGTCTTGCCAGCATCATGCAAACCTCTTTCCAGCCCTTTCCTTCTCTGGCATCTGCTCCCCCTTCAACTGGACCCAGACCACAGACCTCACCCTGCCCGTGAAGCAGACACCCCACAGCTCAGGTATAGGCCGCCTGCCCCTCCCTGTGCACGCCCAGCCTCCTGAGAGCTCACCTGGTCCCAGAGGGCGATCTGCCGGGTGTTCCACCTGGAGACCCCCGTGGTGAGCAGTCGCTTCATGTTTCCCAGGTACACTACCCGGTTCACCCTGTGGTTTTTGCAGTTTGCCTCCTGGTGGGGACAGAGCATGGGTGAGCCAGGGCCCCCAACACCTGACGACTGAAGTGAGCTGAATCGAATGGTGGCTTCCTCAAAGATGTCAATGTCCTGGGACGCTGTGCAAAAGGACCCTTGTAACGTAACAGCACAAAGGATCCTGGAATGAGAGGGTCACCCTGGATGATGCAGGTGGACCCTAAAGTGTGCTTGTCACAGACACACAGAAGATCCAGGGGTGTGTCCATGGAGATGGAAGCTGGAGTGATTCGAGCACGAGCCAAGGAAGCCACCACCAGGAGCGAGAGGCGGCAGGAACAGCATTTGGGAGGCTGAGGCGGGGGATCCTGAGCTCCAGGACAGCCTGGGCTACAAAGCGAGACCAAAATGCAAGAACGGGTTTTCTCCTGGGCTTCTAGAGGGAGGAGGAGGGGCTGTGGACACGTTGATTCGGAACATCTGGACCCCAGAGCTGTACAAGGACAGTTCCAGTGGTTGTAAGCCACTGGGCTTGTGACAATTTGTTACAGCAGCCACAGAGAACTAGCACAGCTGCTGTGGAGCAAGGAGCTCTGGGGATCAGGAAGCCAGGCCTCTACCATTAACCAGGATGAGGGGAGCGGGGCAGGGAAGGGCTGAGCTCCTGCCCGGAGTCACACTGGGGTGTCTCCTTTAACTCTCAGGGGGGATCATCACCTTCTGAGGAGGAGACAGGGGGACAGGAGGGTGCTTATGCTGTCTCCCCTGCAATAACTCACGTCACCAGGATGCACCTTCTTAACTGAGGGGTCTCGGCCCCCTCTCCTGTCTGCCAGCTCAGAATTCATAACTCCCAACACCTCCTAACTGGCCACCGCCCTTCACTAGGTGAAATCGAAGCAGGTTGGAGAAGAAGTCCGAAAAGATCCAACCTGGCGTCACTTACCCTGGGTTTTAGTTCCACCTCTGCCAAAAACTGTAGCCCGAGAGGTCCTCATGACCTTTAGGCTCGTGTCCTAGTCTCTGTTCCCTGGCATCCTTTCTAAGTCCAGCATGGGCTCTGGGTTTGAATTCTAGCTCCTCCTGGAACTGTGAAATTTGAGGCTCAACCTCTCTAAGGCTCCACGTTCTCATGTATAAATTCAAGGGCAGTGTACCCATGGTGGAGTGCCGTTCTGCGGACTCAGTGACAACCATACAGAGCCCTCAGCAGGTGTTGGTCAATACTAATGACACAAGCAACTCTGACTATTCTATCAGTGATAGAATAACTGAGGACATTCCAGGAATATCAGTCTCTTCCAAGATTAATACATCCACATCAGGCACTAGTCAACCCCCAAATTTCGTCCATATTTTCCCTCTTACCTAGCCCTAAACAGGAGGATCAAATTCAGACCAATCCAGGCCCAAAGAGCCAGTAAATAAATAAATAACCAAAGCAAAAAGGCCCACGGATGTGGCTCAAGTGGTAGAGCCCCTGCCTAGTAGGCACGAGGCCCTGAGGTCAATCCCAAGTACCACACACACACACACACATAAGCACACACACACACACGTACATGCACAGACACACACACACATGCACACACACGCACACGTGCACACAGTAGAGTCCACCTGCAGAACACGACCGGAGCGGGGCTCGATCACGCGAAGCTTCTTATCCTTGCAGGTCGTGGTGAGCAGGCTGCCGTCTGTGTTGAAGGACATGCAGAGGATCACGTCTGAGTGACAGTCAATCATCTTCACTGGCTCACCCACGTCCAGGTTCCAGATGAGGACCTGGGAAGCAGACAGACAGAGGCAGGGAGGGCCACCGCTGTGGTTTTGGGCGTCATCTGCCTCCATGCACACTGACAGCCTGGGAGAAATGTCCCGTGCAGGGCTGGGGTGCTCTGGGGTGCAGCATGATGTCCTTGAGTTCTATAGTCAAAGGCTGAATCCACGAATCAACATCCCAGGCCTTCTGGGCTCAGCTTCTGCAGCAAGTAAGGAGTGTCCCGTGCCTGGCCACAGGCGCTGGCACCTCTCTGAGAGCATGCCCGGGGGCAGGGAGGCTGTGCTCCAGTTCTTTCTATGAGGAAGGCAGCAGTACCCTTGGTGAAGAGTGACTGCAGAGGGCGTGAGCCCTCTGGTAGTCACCTCCTGTTAATCAGTGCTCAGAGAGGGCAGGAAAAATGCCTCCAGCCCCACTGTGGACCCTAGGAAGGGTGGGGTGCATGGGAGCTGCTCAGGTGTGTGCAGTGAAGATGAGTGTGTGAATGGAGGAGACCAGAGTGGGCAGGACACCTGGGGAATGTGCTCCCCACCGGTCCCCAGGCAGCCCCCGGTATCTCCCCGTCCCTCCACGCCAAGCTGGCTTTGGCCAGGCTGCCCCCACCGGCCACACACCTTGTAGTCGTAGCCTGCGCTGAGTAGGATGTTGTTGGTAGTGGGGTGCCACTCGACAAGCCCCACACGCCGGCTGTGCCCGTGCAGCTCCAGCAGCGCCACTGTCATGTTCCGCTTCAGCCCGCCCTCAGGGATCTCCCAGATCCTCACCTGTAAGGGTGGCGGGGGGAGCAGGGCTTTGGCCAGGTGGACAGGGACAGGAAGTGCCACAGGTGGGCCTCTTCTTAGGACACCAGGCTGAGACTGGTTGAGTGTGGCACCTCCCGGGTCAGGGTGTACAGCACAGCCTGAGGCCAGGGCAAGGCCCTGGGGGAGTGAGAGGGACAGGGGACAGGTCCCTTTTGCTTCTGGGAGGCTTTCTCTGAAAAGTTTCTGTTGACTAAGAGCACGACCCCTATGCTGTGGTGTAGCCAGGCTGAGGATTGTCACAAGGACCATCGCGAGCAGCTTTTAGCAAATGCTCAATTAAAAACCCCAACTTCACTTCCTCTTCCACTGTCTCCTTAGAATCTGCCTTCCTTCTACTTAGCCCTAGCTCCTCAGTTCCACATGGCCATGTCCCTCACTCTGTCCCCAACCAAGATGGATGCCTGGGCTGAGGGAGATGCATCCGAGAGGCTGCTGAGAGATGACAGACCCAGGGGCAGAGAGTCCAGCTGGAGGTTGGGCCTGAGCCTGAAGGGAGGCAGAGACTGCATGCAGTTGCTATTTTCAGTCTTGTGATGCAGACAAAGAAGCAGAAAAAGATAAGCTGACAAGAGAAGGAAGGGACACACAGAGAGCAGTGGAGGGACACAACCATGCAGCCCCAGACGGGAGGCGCCGAGCCACCTGCCCCTGGATGACTCTGGCTACCGACATTTGCCCTAGTGGCCCCAGCAACTCAAGTCAATCATATTCTACACCATGTCCTCTGTGTCATCCCTGGCAGGACGGGGGACCGTGTCCTGCCTGGCCTGCTGGTAGCCTAAAATCAGATCATGGTGGCAACATGAAGCACCCTACAGGCATTTACGGGCCATGATTCCTGTTGCTATCATCACTAAAACTATGTTCAGAGTCTACAGGTGGAGAGAGAAGAGTACAACTTAAGACACCATCAAAACAACCCTTGTGTGGGCTGGGGAAGTGACTCACGTGGTAGTGTGCCTGCATAGCAAGTTCGAGGCCCTGAGTTCAAGTTCAAACACTAGTACTACCAAAAAACGAAAACAAAAGAAAAACGAAAAAAGAACCCCTTTGAAAACCCGAACTCCATCCTTGTCAGTAAGGAGAAAACCAGGGAAAGAGCTCCAGGATATCATTGAAATCTGCTAAAATAGCCCATGAAAAATTAACCACAAAAAGGCAGTGTTGGCAAGAGTGTGCTGGACCTTGTGGACATGGTTTGGGTGGGGTACCCTGAAGCAGAGGACCCTCCTCTCTGGATGTCTTATGAAGATCGTCAGTGGGAACCATGAAGACATGCTATCCTCTTTGACAACTTCACTCTTTTTGTTTTGCGGTGCTGGGGTTTGAACTCAGAGCCTTCACCTTGAGCCACTCCACCAGCCCTTTTTTTTTTTTTTTGTGAAGGGTTTTTCGAGATAGGGTCTTGCAAACTATTTGTCCGGGCTGGCTTTGAACCGCAATCCGCCTGATCTCTGCTTCCTCAGTAACTAGGATGACAGACATGAGCCACGGGCACCCGGCCACTCTCAAAACTCAACACAAGAAAAGTCCCCAGGCACAAAGAGGGTCACACAACACCATCTCCTCAGAAAATGTACAAATGCAGAAGTGACCAACGTCAGGAGGAGTTTGTATTTTTCCTGGGACCAATGCAATATGTACTGTGGATATGTCACAGTGGCCTTTTGATCACGACCCTGAAGGCTAAAATGTGGCAGAGAGCGAGTCAGGAAGCAAAGGCTGGAGCCAGGCTGTGCCCGAAAGGAAGTCCTGGATGAGCTTTCTCCTCAGACCACGGACACGAGCATTTCCTACCTTGTGTCCCCCTGAAGCTCCTTCACCCACTGACCAGGAGGTTTTGGATGAGAAAGTCAGGTTGCTTTGAGAATTGGGGACCAGCCTTAGGACACTTTTCTCAGTTTCAGGAGATCAGCCCGCTTGAGGACAAGTTTGTGATTAGGGACATCTGAAAACGCTTTCCTGTCCCCATTTCTTCATTGGAAGCCCCTTTGGAGGCTCCAGAGCTACAATAAAGCCCAACGTTCCTGCATGGGCGGAAGGGTGACATCAAGAGGTCCTCCCTTGTCAGCACCTGTGCAGAGTGGTTGGGGACAAGGAATGTTCTGGAGGTGGTGGGGAGTGGAACGGGGATGTGCTCCTGGATGCCATGACTTGGCAGTCACCAGTAAGACGTACGGTCCTTGGTCCCCATAATGTACTACGGGAAGGTGCCCTGAGGTGGGAAGACTTGCGTTTGGAGCAGACCTGGGTACAGCGCATGCGCGCACACACACCCACTCCTTTCGTGTTTTGCCCAAAGGGACGGCATCACAAGCTTTCTTATCTCCCTAACTTCAGGTAGCGGACGTCTTTGCACATCATCACATGCTCTCTGCCTCGTCCGTTTAAACTGCTGGGGGACTGTCCCAAAATGAGTTCGGTCAGCTTTATTAATTGGCACCTGACTCTGCCTGCTCCTTTTTCACAATTACAATTTGTTCTCGAACATCCCGTAACACAGGTTTGAGCACAGTGTGATGGCTCCTGAAGGTCAAATGCCTGTGTGTGTCTTATTTTTTCAAATAACTATTACAAAATTGTTCCCCCATGGACTGGAGGCTTGCTTTGCAAGTGTGAAGCCCTGAGTTCAAACCCCAATCACACCAAAAAAAAAAAAATGTCCCCCAGTTTCGCCCAGTCTTTACCCTCAGGGTCCAAGAGGCCACCTTTACCTATGCCTCTGGTACAACACCTTTTAAAAAGCTCATCTTTGGGAGCTGGGTGAAAGATCGGGACACCATTTCCTAGTACCCCAGCACTACTAGAAAAAAAAAATCTGAATTTTCTTCATCTGACAGGTCAAAAAATGCCACCTCACTTGTTTGGATTTTCATTTCTTTGGTTCTTTGAAACATCAAGCGTCCCCCTGCCCATATAACCCAGGCTAGCCTTGAACTCTCCTACCTCTGCCTCCCAAGTGCTGGGATTGCAGGCATAACCACCACACCCAGCTTCTGAATTATCAGGCATCTCCCCTTGTGTTTATTGGCCACATTGGTCTGCCATAGATGCTTTTGAACTCCAAAGGATGAGACTTGGAAGGGTGGAAGAAGCACAGGCCAGTAAGGAGAATCTGTTCAGGGATGTGCTGTCCCGCACCTTGAGATGGCAGACAGTCTGCCACATGGATGCTGCAATGGCACTGACAGCCCACAGTGGTGACAGAGACAGAGCTGGAGAGCATCGCTGGACATCGAGGAAGGCCTTTAAACCTCTGATGAGCCCTATTCAGTCCACACACCTCCTGGGGCCGCCTGTGTGCAAACGGGACGGGGTGTTGACATTGTGCCCTGCCCCTGACAGTTCAATGAGGGCACACAGTGAAGAATCCAGGGCACACAGCTGGGGGACCTGAGTGCATGCGGGTGTGATGGGGGTTGGGACAGCTGAAAGAGGGTGTTGGAGAAGTTTTCAAATCCAGGCCAGGGTTGGGGAGGAGTGAGGAGACAGAAGAATGGCCCATGTGTGTGTGGGTTGGGGTGTGACATGCGGGAAGTGCAGCGGTCAGCCTGGCCGGCGGGAGGCAGTGTGGCAGGGGTCATGGGAAGCCAGGACCATGTGTCACATCTTGTCATGGAGGACTGAGGAAGCTCTTCTGGGGCCCAGAGTCTTGGGGAAAACCTTTTCCCAGAACAACATCACTACTGTGCAGCTCAGGTACTGCTGACTTGAGTGGGGACAAAGGTGTGCCCCTGCCGGCTCCAGCCCCACTCACTAGGTAAGTGACTTCAGATGAGCTGGGTGACCTCTTTGAGGCTCTGGTTCTTGGTTTTAGAAGACAAATGGACACGTGGCCTCGTGGTGTGTGTGAGTTCAATTACCCTGGGCTTTGGCGTCGCACGCACTAATTTCTTGGGGTTGCCTGAGCTGAGGGGCTGGGAGGACAGGTGGGATCCAGCTCCAGCCTTGGACAGCAGCATCAGAGCCTCATGGAGCCAAGGGCAGCAGATGGAAACCAAAGAAGCTGTTTTCTCCAGTCATTAGATGCAGGGTCCCCGGCAGGGCTTGGGGACCAGGATGAAGAGACACCCCAAAGAGAGGGAGGGCAGCCCAGCCTGTCACCAGATGGCACCTGACACTTCCCTTCCTGGGTCTGGCTTCTCATCCACGCAGGAACACAGTATCATCTGAGCTCCCATTCTGACCCCACTAAATGCATCCTTGGGGATGCAGGCTGCTCTGCTTGTCCTCGGCTACAGCAGACAGTTGGCACCAGTCCTACAAGGCTCAGAGGAAGAGCTAGAGTTCACAGTGGACCTGAGTTACTGAGAAAGGAACTCCAATCCATTAGCGTTCAAGGAATTTTCTGGAAAGAGTGGATAGGAAGTGGGAGGAGCACTGTGGAACCCCCCACCCTCCCCGGAGGGTGCGCTGGGAAGTTGCTTCAACTCAACAGGAAATACAGGAGTCTGCCAAACAGGATTTCTGGAAGGAAGGGGTGGAGAGGAGCGGTGAAAGCACTGTCTCCAGTAAGCCAGCTGTGCCTGAGACTGTCCTCTTCCTAAGTCCCCAACCAGGGCCTGGTGTAACTCAGCCGCAGTCCAGCAGAACACATCAGTCCCTCCCAGTGCCACACTCACTAAACACTATGGACAGCCCTTGGCCTCCAGGAGCTCCCAGTCTGGGGGGCAGACAAGAGGAAGGCAAGGCCACTTAATCAAGGTGCAAAACCAATGTCCCTGTGAACTGGGGAGGGCACAGCTGTCCAGCAAAGCAAGAGCTCTGTGGCCTCATATGCTCTGACCCTTTGGCCAAGTCTTTGCCTTTCTGAGCACCAGTCATCTCATCTGAAGGATAACTGTACCCATACAACATGTTGCCATGACAACTAAATACAGATGAAGCACTTATATGACCGAGCAGATCAACGAAGACTCAATCATGAGCTGGGTGCTCAGAGCTCACACCTGTAATCCTAG